TTCTTCATGGTTGTTCTCTTTATGGGTACAATATGAATATTACCATGCAAAGTATTTAATAAATGACTAGAGCATAGTAGACACTTGTTTTTTGCTGGATATCTAAATTTCCACCAGGTTACACTACTTTGTACATTTTGTTTTTCCTATGTATCTCCCCTACCTCATGCTTTTGAACTTATTTCATATCAGGTTTTCTCTACTAGATACCCCTTAAAATCCCCTTCTCTACTAGATTTTAACATCTTTATTCCATTTCTTGCCATTTGATATGTACTTTTGAAATTTTATTGAGCACAGCAGCAAAGTAGCCATGTACATTAATATTTTCATCGTCTGCTAGAATAATATAAAGGGTTTGAATTTTGAACTTCATGAATGTACCTCCCAGTGGACCAAAATATGTTATTCTTTTATCTCTGTCAGTTTTAAGAGAAGATAAATTGTTACTGCTGAATGCTGTAATAACTTGTGTACATTATTCTCTAAACTACAGTTCAGCATTTTTTTTTCAACTTCTCATTTTGCACTTCGAACTTTTTGTGCAAATAATTTTCATTTTCCTGAAGTATATCCTCTGAAGCATATTTCTTTTGTGGGAGGATATTGTTCATAAAATATTTCTCTTAAAACTCCATCTAAAGGGTCTTCATTGATTCTGGTCCAGTTCAGTTTGTGATCAAAATCATAGTAAGAATTAAGTTCATGAACAAAGAAACCACTGTGGTTTATACTTGAAGACTTTGTGGATATGTTGCCCTCAGCCTCTGCAACTCTAGCAAACTTGTCTTCTCCCTGTTTTCCTACTTTCCTTGTTGTGGTTTTATGCTTCTTGTATTTTGTGAAAAACCTTGAGTCCTGTCTGGGTGTGTATCTTCTCACAAAGCATTTGTTTGTTTCAATCAGAAGTTCAGGATCACTGGCTACTGGGTCCACTTTGAATTTCTGACCTGCAATATTTTGTATTAGACTAATAGTGTAAATATAAGCCACAAAGCAAGCTGAGTGAAGCATCTATGATTATGGTTAAGAAAGATTGTGTTCATAAACCTAGAACTAAATTAAGATGGAAAAGTTTGTTGCCAAGTTTCCTGTGTGGCTGTGAAAGTTTTATGTTGCAAAAAAATGTTTTTACGAAGGTGTAGCCTTTCATGCCTTCTGAATTTATGCAGGATCTCTAACTCACGCATGAATTCAAGTCTTTGTCTTTTATTCTCTGAAAGTAGGAAACCAAAAGTGAGCTGGGTCAATGGAATCAGAACCCAGCTTCTGGCTTTGGTGTTCACTTACCTTCTCCACCAGAAATTCTCTTGCTTTCTTGTGAATCACCTATACATTACAGTGGTATTTAAAAATCTTTTCTTTTCCACTGTTAGATACTTTATGATGGGAAGATAGTATGCAATTGTTTCTTTATAGATGGATAGGTACATCCACCAAACTAAGTTCTAAAGTAGTTACTGCTTTGTGAAGAATATCTATGTGATTTAGGTACTGAAATGAAATTTGACCTTTATTTATATTTGTGAGGTATATTTCAAACCAAGGACAAATAACTAAAATTATTCTTTCACTTATAGAATTAATGCAAGTAACGTTTTTCAAGCAGTAGTTTCTGTGGTGTTGTAGATATGACTTCTAAGACATAGTTTCAAAGTATAGCATGTTCTCAAGACATTTGTATATATTTCAACTGATTACAAAGATGGATCATCTGAATAGGGATGAAAATAAGTTTGAGAGTCATTCTCCATGAAGGCTGAAAAAATTTATTGGCACTTTTGTACTGAAATACTTTGGTACCTTTCTCCAAGAATCAACTCTATGAGCCAAATGTCAGAATACTGACTTTCATGTACTCTGCTACTCACTTTGATGATGGAAAGAGTGAGAACAATTAATGGGATATATTCCATATTTTGCATATACCATGATGTTTTAGAATAGATAGATAAATGTACAGATAGATAAATGTAGCACAGTATGATAAACACCATCACACATGCATATTAGGCACACTGAGAAGAAGTGATGTACTCCACCTGAACAAGTCTGAGGAAGCTTCCTGAAAGATGACATCTGAGCCAATTATAGAACGACAATTGTTTACTATGGAAGAGATAGAGAGGGAGACAGACAGACAGATGGAGGGAAGGAGAGAACAGAGAGAGGAGAGAGGAGGAGAGAGGATTTCCGGATGAAGAGAGTAACACATACAGAGGAAGAAAAGACACCCCAAAGACATCATAATTGGAGATTATGTGATCTTGGGAGTGAGAGGCTATGTTATCAAGTGGTGGTGAATGACAGATGATAGTGGGATATATGGAGGGCAGATTGTGCAGGGTATTTCTTATTGCATAATGAGGAGGAGGACTGATTCTTTGTTCAATGGTGCTGTCAGGCTTAGAGGGTTTCACATCTGTGCTTCAGTATGTTGACAGGCAGAATTAGGGAGGATGGTAAGATTCTAGGAGGCAGAGATGAGATGGGTAATAATGCAGAAAAAGGACCCACACGAGTCAGTAATTACTTAAGTTTGAATGTACTAAAATACTAATTATTGTTTTCTGTAACAGAATTGTATATTATGAATGTTATTATAAGAGAATTATATACGTCATTTGTTCATTTATAAAAATGGTACCCTAGGGAATATGACTCAACCCCAACTTCTTGGATTATTGTAACTAATGTTACTAATGACAAATAGGTATGCAATTTTACAAATGATTTGTGACTTATTGGGTTTGATATATTTATTGCCTCTTATAACTCCATAACAACATGGATAATAAAAGTCATCCTTTCAATCATTTGAAGTATCCTTCAACTCTGTGGTATAAAATATTTGAGGACAAGAAAATTTCCCTTAATGGTGGTAAAGTCAGGCCAAAAGTTATGTCTGTCTGTTCAATATTTTCTGAGTGATACTTTAAAATACATTGATACATTTTTCTTGTTAAATATTGCCATGATAGAGGAAATTGCTCACTTTGAATAAGCAATTTGATTTGAACATACACTAAAGACATACAACAGGCAGCATTCCCAATAATGGAGGAGGAATCTACGGAGGACAAGAATTTTATTTACCTAAATTACAAAGATAATTTAATGAGGAAAGAAATGAAACCAAAACCGAGTATCAGGACTCTTGACCCAATTCTTTTGACAGTTCCATGAAAATGGTCAACACCGTCTATATATAATTGCTACTGACTGGTTGAAATGCACAAAATGCTTCTCATGTCATTTTACTGAGTTCTAACTACTTGAAAATGAGTAAGACGCATACAATTCTATAGCTATTGTCTTTTGGTTACAATATTTGAAACCAGCAATATTGTTTTCTTGTTGTACAATCTTTTTAAAAGAAAGAACAGCCGCTTAGTTTCATTTATTGGTGAAATTAAGATTCTTTAATTTCTTAATATTGTTATTTCTATGGAAAACGTAATCAACACTATTTGTTTTTCAAATCAGAATTCTATCATGAAGTCTATTAATAGATTTTTCTCATGGAAGAAGTTATTTTAAAAATCTATCAAATTATATCAGTAACTATACTCTGAACGATAATCTTTAGCTAGAGGAGTATATTTAAAATTGTTCTATCTTTTCTACTAAAGTCTATTCTATTTTGAAAGATGATATAATGCATACGAATAGGTTGCTTGATTAGTGGTTATATAATGGCATGCATGAAAAGGCAAAAAGTTTTTGCAAAGCATTATTGGTCTCTCTGTGTTGTCAGTGAAACCTGTAAATTGACTTGAGTGTAAAGAAGCCAATTAATTTCAGTTAGTCACCTTGTATAATATATTTTGGTGAAATTACAAAATATAGATTTATATCCAAGTAATCTTAAAAATATGCATTATGACTTGAGTTTTCTGTTGACAATAAAATTTAAATTTGATCTGGCATAAAACCAAAACAACATATATTCTCAATCCCTGTATCATTAATACTTTATATGCAAATAGGAGTTCATACAGCACATTTAAGTAATAAGAATGTAGCCTTTGTTAGTGAACAGGAAATTAAGAGATGGTATTGATTAATTGGGAGGAGTTGAGATTAGAATGGTTATAGCCAAAGAATTAATTAGAATTGGCAGCCATTGTAGGTGGCTACTACTATTATAATCAAACATGAAGGACGGATCATGTGGGCTTGATCTTTTGCACACATTAAAGTTCACAGATACTTCCTTTAATTAGCCTTTATCCTGAGGAGCTTCTTTGTAGACCATGTGCTAGGTTATAAAATTCATGTGAACTTTCATGTACACAAACATAAGATCAAGTACCTGTTTCGTTAGTTACATTTATTTTAAACTGCCACCAATGAAAAGTCAGAGGCCAGAAAATGAAACACAATAAAAATGAAATATTTATTCTTTTGGCTCAATAATGAAGTAGCTCACCATTCCTTTTAGTAATAGCATTTCCCTGCATGCAGATCATCAATACACTACAGTAAATAGTTTTGTAAAAGGAGTTAACATTAAACTTTTGGTTTGTGCAAAAAAAAAAAAAAAGAATTTGTATCCTGTTAGGTAACTGCACAACTTTGCTACTTTGTTCATGGCTAAAAAGGACAAATTCCATGTCATATTTTTAATAGCTTTAGTGCAGCAGGAGTTAAAAAAATAAGCCTAGTTTGCATATGCAAATACTACAAAAGTTGAGTTAAAAAAAAACAAACTTCCATGAATGACAGGTTATTTCGAGGCAATCATTGTTGGTACAAAATGGCCTAAGTTTGAGTTTTTCATCAATGTATTTCCTATTAGAATGCTAGAAAATATATTATAACAAAGAAATCCACAAAACCATTGTCTAAATTTTATTTTAGGAAATTATCTGTTGAAAATTCTTATGGATTCAAAAGTTTGGAACTGTGATTAAAAATAAGAAGCAAAAACATAAAGTAAAATAAATTGCCATGTCATCAACCTGAAAATAATTTTCTTATGTACAAAATGCTGACAAATAAAATTGATCATATTTTTACATTATTTATATTTGAACAAGTTTTGGACATATTTTTAGCAAAATATGAAGTAAACGTTTTGACAATAGGCTGCATGTGGTGTGTGTCCTTGAAATCAAGAAAGATACCATATGATCTTCAGGTTGAATTTAAAATGCAAAAGTAAAGGTGTTTTTGAATAACTTCAAACTATTCTGCTGGACATGGAGACATTAAATTTGTTGAATTCATTCTACCATCAATATGTGACTTCTTCTAACTAAGACTTTTGAAGAATGGATTCAATAAAATAGAGCAGCATAGGCAATATTAACATGCATTAGTGATAGCCTTCAAACTAGTTATGTATAATGAATGGTACAGGATACACCCCTGTTGGAAGCTCGCAAAAGACACATACACTGTGGTACATATTTGATTTAATAAAAGTTGTTTACTGGGATATATATATATATATATATATCTCCAAACATGCACCACAGAATAAAATAAATATTTACATAACAGAGGGTATTTGACATAAACTGTCAGCTTTGCTGAGAGCAGAAAATGGCAAAGCAATATTGCAGCAGATAGTGGAACCACTATTCTAAAGTGATATTTTAGATATACTTTTCTAAAACAGATTTATTAGGATTTATTAGATTACTTTTTTTGGAAAGCATTTAACCAAAATTAAATATAGAGCTCTGGAACTTAGAATAAAATTTGCACTTGCTGAAACAGAATACTTTGCATAAAAATAATCCTTTAAATATTAGAGGAGACTTTACAGGCACATAACTGTTCAGATATAAACAAACATAATAGACTAAACACCTTTAAAATTAAAGCCAGTTAGAAAATGGAAGTATTTGAAATTGTTAGCATTAAAATTTTTTCTGGTTCTGAGCAAGAATTTCATCTCTCTGGCATAATATTTTTGTCTGAGTATTTCAGAGATTTCTAGAGTAGGAACACCGGGCTCTTATATACCTTTCCCACAACATAAACTTCATTTACAAAAATAGTGACACAGTAGTATGAATAAACTATGAATCAGGGATCAGAGAAATTCACTAGAAGAAATTTTGTAAAAATATGGCAGATATGGAAGTTAAAAATAGAGTGGATGCGAGTATTGTACTAAAGGTGTTTGGTGTAGTTACAATGATCACTTAGCACAAGTATTCCTATAGTCTAGGTAGTCATTAAGTTCTCCTCAGCAGTGTCAGCTGGTAATGAGAGCAGTGACCTCCTGTCAGTGTTGGTACCCTGCCTCACAGAGTTGCAGTGACAGAGAGGTTGCTGTCTTGTATAGGCACTGACCATGAGTATTTGTTGAAACAGTCAGTTTGGCGTGGATCTCCTCTGGGAGTCCAGATGACACATTTACCTTCATAGGCTGTAAACAATTGATTACAAAGATCTTTCTTTGTTTCTTTTTACTTTTGATTTTCTCTGACCTCTTTCCCTTTGCTTTCTTTTTCCGCCTTGTCTTTTTCAAACTTTTCCTTGTCTGGTTTTGTTACACTATCGTAAGAAGGAGGAGAGGTGGTAGAGGAACTTCCATCTGTTTTTTCTGGGGTGGAATTCCCATTTAATTTGTCAATAACCATGTCATCTCTTATAGCTAAGTCAATCCTTCCTTTGATTGTCTCTTTGTTATATTTACTTGATATGTTTTTTAACCTTTGCTTTAAAAGATAACATCTGAAATTACGCTGAATGATAGCAGCAGACACCTCCTCCTGTTTGCGTTTCAGAGTGGTTGTGATGGGCTCGTAGGACACTTTGGAGGGATTCGATGCCATGAATCGATCTTCCATCTGTATTCGCAGGGCATCCATCTCTCCACTCTCACCCAAAACCCGCTTTGTAAAGGCAAATAAGATGTCCAGGCAGTGGATCCGGTCTCCACTGACCATGGGCAGGTCCATGGCAATGAGCTGCACTTTGTTTGGTTTTGCTATGAGGAGAGGGGGATCCAGGGCAGCTGCAAAATCAGAGAGCTTGGCAAACTCTATGAACTGAGTTGCATCAGGGTCAAACTTCTCCCAAACCTCATAGAACATCTCAAAGTCATCCTCGCTCAGGGGCTCTGCACTCTCTTCCGTGGCAACGCTGAAGTTCTCAAGGATGACAGCGATGTACATGTTCACCACCACCAGAAAGGAAATGATGATGTAACTGACAAAAAAGAAAATCCCAACAGATGGGTTCCCACAGTCACCCTTCACTAAACTTCCAGGGTGGATTGTGTCAGGGTCACAGTCAGGAGGTGCACTGTTGAGAATAGGCGCCAGTAGTCCATCCCAGCCAGCAGAGGTGGTGATTTGGAACAGGCAGATCATGCTATTGCCAAAGGTCTCAAAGTTGAACATGTCATTAATTCCAGCTTCCTTTTTAACATAGGCAAAGTTGGACATTCCAAAGATGGCGTAGATGAACATGACCAGGAAGAGCAGGAGGCCGATGTTAAACAAGGCGGGAAGGGACATCATCAAAGCAAAGAGCAGTGTGCGGATCCCCTTTGCTCCTTTGATCAGACGAAGGATTCTGCCAATCCTGGCAAGACGGATCACTCGGAACAGGGTAGGGGACACAAAGTACTTCTCTATCAGCTCAGCGAGAAACATTCCTGTGGAATAATATAGATCACAGCTGAACTGTGCTTGCTCTTATAAGAACTGAACAGTAGCTTGCTCTTACAAGAATGTTTCAGTGTGGGTGATCTATGAAAACAGACTCATTTTGGATATAAACCTTTACTAAATATTTGGATCTACTCTGTAGTATAATTTAAAGATTACCAGGTTTTAGTCAATGAATCTGTAATTACATGAGCCAATATGGACTTTTGCAAAGTCCAACTAATCTCGGCTATTGGCATGGCAATTTAAGATTATACACCCCACATACTATGAAATGTGGCAATAATGAAGATTATTTCTGAAACATGAATACTGTCTTTTGTTTTTGACTAATGACATTCTTCAGTTAGAGGAAAGTGGATAATGTTTGACCTGAAGCTCTAAATGTGGAATTCTACAATATCCCGTCTTCTGCATTCTCAAATCTTGATCCTCTCAAGATCTACCTCCGATAGACCACTCTTACCTCTGGGAGACTGCTAACGCTTCTGAGGAGCATCAGTCATTGCCTCTTCAGTGCTTCTTGTAGAACTGACCCTACCGCACTTTAATAAACTTTTTCAGAGATCCTCATTTCCCTCCCAGCTCATGAATTTGTTTAGGACAAGGAAAGGTTCTGATGCTTTTTGTTTCCTGTCCTCTTCTTCAAATCTAATATTCCTAATATAGTTTCTAAGTAGGGGGCTTTGTCAATATATCCAGGTTTCAGAGTTTCTATTCTAATATATTAGTATTGAAATATAGATTTGCACATACTACTACTCTCAGACATAACTTCATGTTAAATGGCTGATGGCACTTGGGACACTGTTTCACTATCACTACACTTCACTGTAATTCAGCTGTTCTTACCCACGATGGAGAGAATCACCACCACAAAGTCAAAGATGTTCCAGCCTATTGTGAAGTAGTAGTATCTGAGTGAGACGAGCTTCAGCACAAACTCTCCAGTGAACAGGACAATGAACACAAGGTTGATCCGGGACAAAACTAGGGTCATATATTTGCTCTGGTCATCTGTTTCTACCATCATGGTGACCATATTGAGGCAGATGAGGATCATAATGCTGATATCAAAGACTTGTCTGGTTACAAAATCAAAGACCATTCCTTGGAATTTATTCTGGAAAGGGAGACAAGAGGGAGCGGGTTAGTGCATCTACTTTCAGATGATGATCCAGGAAAATGGAAGAGAACGTCATGAGATATGCACCTTTCTCATATGACCATGAACAATTTTGTGTGCTCCCTTATTTTTTTTTTTTTGTCTTTTTGAGACAGAGTCTCACTATGCCGTTCAGGCTGGCCTTGAGCTCACTTTGTAGCCCAGGCTGGTCTTGAACTCTCAACAATCCTCCTGCCTCAGCCTCCTGAGTGCTGGGATTACAGGCGTGAGCCACCACACCTGGTTTGCTTCACATTAAAAAACCAAAAAGTATCTTGTAACAACAGAAGATATGATGGCTCCCTTAGGCTCTTTAGATACATATCTAAACAAAACATTCATAAATTGATGGCAGCTGGCTGACCACATGTACAGATTTTGCTTGATGTCCGTAACTGATAATTTTGTAGAAATAATGACAACTAGTAATGAAGACTTACAAAGTAGGTTAATATAGGCAAACTTGTAGATAGATTAATACCCCAATTAGTATATCAATAATTTAGGAATTTGTTGTTACACCTTACTTCTCAGAATATGTTGGTTATTTTTCAATTTGACCTTTTCCAGCTTTGTGTGTCTATGTGTGTATTAAATTATCTATTTTTCTCTCCATCTACTGTTAAACTTTACCAATGCTTTGACAAAATGCATCACTTATGAAATCTTTATTTTTTGTTCTATTAGCAATCACCTTAAGAATCACATGCCTTCAAAGTTTCCTATATTAATGTGGTTGTTAAATATAATTTTATTTTAGAAATTCTTAATAATTTAGAAAGAGATTACATGGCTGACTCAGAACATAAGGTCATGAACTAACCATGTTTCCAAGTTTCAATAACCTTCAGAAAAGTAGGTTCATTCCCTCCCATGGACAGCATCCCACATCTTTTTCAACCTCGCCCTCTACCTCCCAACTCCAGTAATTCTTAAAAATATAGTAAACTAAAACAACTGATAGGACTCATGAAACCTTGTCAAGTTCCAGTTCTACTATTTACATGTTTTGCGATCTGAGTTATAGTATTTATTTTTCTTGGTCCTCAGTTTCCTTATTCTTTATGTGTCTCAGAGGAGGATAGAAGAGTTAAACTCTCAGCATAATCCATCATTATTATGCCATTCCATAAATATTATGAAGTGCTACAAAGTGTGATTTCTGAATATACTTTTTTGGGGTGTATTTGGTGAAATAATAAATGATTCTGATGATAGACTTTGTTTCTAAACAAGTTAGGAATGTTTTCTATTCTTAAGAATGAAAGCTCAAAAGGCAAGGAGGGAGGCCAAGGGGAATGAGGTAAGTCTAGAAATTTCTATCTACTAAAAAAAAGCACTAGATAATGTCTTATAATAATGTCAGATGAACAGCAGCCAGATTTGTTGTTCACAGTAGAAGGGTGGACCTTGCTTTGGAGAAGTTATTAGGATCTCTGAGTTGGAGGTTTACAACTCACAAAATGTAAAGAATATTACCTAATATCAACCTGTCAGTTGATATTGTGCATAGCAGATGTAGAACATGCGATGCAATATGAACTTTATAGTTAGGACTGTACATTAGTGATATCACCCAAATGTACTGATTCTCAGCATTGTTCAACTTGATTAAGTGGGAACATGGTTTTAGACTTTAAAGTGTTTAAGTAATTCTTACTGAAGGCCGAGGTATAGGTTTCTGAGGTTTCTTGGATCCAAGTTTCTTCATTGCATTGTAATATTTTTTCTGTTCCTCTGTCATAAATATATCTTGACCTCCAAAGTGAAGACATAATATAAAACTGGTTACAATCCCATCATGGGTTACAGCAGTACTTTTGTTAAAATACTTGAATCTTCCTTTAATATCGTTCAATTTTTAATGGCTATTCTTCTTTTAATTATAAAATTATTCTGCTTATTCCATTTATATGACATTTTGAAATTCTTAAATAATATACAAAACTGATGAGCATATATAACTCTGACTAGTTCAGAATTCTAACTTGATTATACCATGTTTTTCTTTGTTGTTTTATTTTTGTTTTTTTTCCAGTACAGGGAATTGAATTCACAACCTTGTGCTTGCCAGGCAGGTGCTGTGCCGCTGAGCTAAATACCAAGCCCTTGATTATACCATGTTTAAAAGAAAGCTTAAGGGTCTCATATATGTTTTCTGAAAGAAAATTATTTTCCTTTTCTTCTTTAATCAACAATTTTGACCATTTTGGGGGATCAGACAGCATGCTTGATCTCAGAATTACATAGATACATGGTATATGACACAGTTTCTTGCTCCTCACAGGGCAAGATACTAAACATAGTTGGAAAATGTGCAGAGATATGTAAAACAGCATGGCAGAAGCAACAGTACACGGGGAGATAGGCTTTATATAGACAGTGTCCTTAAACTGAGATTTAAAGGATGATTAAGAATTTAGAGGAAGGAAAAGGAAAATGCACACACACACACACACAAACACACACACACACACACACACACACACACACACACGAGAGTTAAGATAGTTATACTACCAATTGCTATTAGTTCACAGAAAAAAAGGTTTATGCCTATATTGTTTGATCAATTTTTCATGCCTATATCTTGTAATCTGAGCAACTACTTTAAAGATAACAATATGCAATGCACTAACCTTTGTTACTCTCCTACAATCTTATTTTGAAATTTTGTACTTTTTTTTTTTTTTTAAGACTTTACTGGAAAATACATCCTAGAAGAAAAACTGTCATGTTTAAAGTCATGGAGAAAAAGGTCTTGGCTTGCTCAGAAAAGGTTAGAAAAGTTCGTGTAGATCTGTGTGTAACAAGTCTGGTGGTGATAATGGGGGGTCTGTAGTCACTGGGTGGCAGGGTGGTAGATGCAAAGAATGAGATGTGGGAGACGAAGTTGGAGAATTGGATGGAGATAATTTCTGGAAGGTTCCGGGGAGGGGTGTTAAAACAGTGTTAAATTGTTGTGTCAGAAACATTCTCTAGCCTTTCGGAAGTGGGTGAACCTGGAGAGCAGCCGTTGACTAGGTTCTGTAGTTTAACTGACCGTGGAGTAAACTGAAACTAATGTAAACATGATCCAGGTCTTTCATGGCTACAAGCATCCTGCTGGTTGTAACACAAAGAAACTCAAAACAGTGAAAAATGAGAGCTAAAAAATACTTATCTTCTTTTTCTGCTGGTTGAAGTTATCTATGATGACACCAATGAATAGATTTAGAGTGAAGAATGATCCAAAGATGATAAAGATGACAAAGTACAAGTACATATATAGATTTTCTTCATATACAGGCTGAAGTTTAACCTGAATCATATTGAAAATATTAAGTGACATTAAAATGATAAATATATAAATAACAGTGAATGCTACTTAATGTAATTACTTTTGTCTTAAGATACTATTTATAAAAAGAATTTTTAAAATTACCACAAAATTTGCAAATATTACAATTGTTCTTGAGTCTATTTCCCATTTTGTCCTACTTATATCATTTAAAGTAATATAAATAGGAAAAACACCCTGTTCTTACAATACGTTATTTGGTTTTGAAAATGCTAGCTGTTGGAAATACAGTTTTAATAGCAGAATGTCAACTTCTAAGAGTCAACTACAGCAGAAATAGATATATTTTGAGAAATTATTCTTATACCTATTTTCAAATTTGAGTTTCCATGAAACCTGTTTGCTTTTAAGTATCATAATATTCTTGGAAACTCCTTCCAAGGCTAATTTATCAGAATCTTCAGGGATAGAGACAGAAATTACTCTGCTACTGAGCAACTTTCCCACTAAACAGTCTTATTTATAGGACTAATATGATGTTTCTGATCCATTCTATTAGCTAGTCTTTCATAGTAGATATATATCAGAGATATATGAACCAAAATATTTATGTAAAAGCATATTAGTTTGAACAATTTTTATATGCAATGACAAATGCTCTGATTTTATGCAATAGAAAATTCTAGATATTTTAGCTAAATTGTCTACAATATTTACCAAGGAAAATCTAAAACAGATCTGGCTATAAATAGATAATAGTTAAGAGATACTTACATCTCGCGAATCAACAGCTGCATACATAATATCCATCCAGCCTTTAAATGTGGCCTGTAAACAACATGTATTAAAATGCCACATAAAAATTTCATCCAAGACTGGCATTGTATCTTATGAAATTCTGACACTATTATTATAAATAATCTTGTACAATATTATGAAACTTTCTCTGAAAAGACTGAAATGAATTGAAGAAATAATTAAAATTAAAATTTCAAAAGGGTTTGTATTTTGAGTCTAGAAATTGCCTTGTTTGTTTCTCTTGGAAGATATTCTATTCTTTTGACAGAAAAAAATTAGAGATTTAATTGATGAAATTTTCATCTCAGGCTTACATTCTTTTAATATCAAAAGTAAGTCCTATATTGAAACCTATGGTTATGTTTAAACACAATTCGATCATTTTCTTTAACTGTTCAATAGTACATTTAGGGGCTGAGAATTTAGCTCAGCAGCACAGCACCTGCTTGGCAAGTGCAAGGTCGTAAGTTCGATTCCCGGTACCGGAAAAAAAAAACAAAAAAAAAAAAAAAAAAAAAAAAAAAAAAAAAAAAGTACATATACAGTCAGTTATGTAAAAATATTAAACATGATACATTTTATAACCTTTTCTATTCATAGTAAAATCATATTTTCTTAGACATTGCTACAATAAGTTATCTGCCTAATAATATAGTTAATTCATCACTATAATATATACATTGTTATTTTAATATGTAAAAATTGTTCCTTTGGGAATGATCACTGCAGGAAACTAAAAACGATAGTTGTGTTCAATAAAACAACAAAAAAATAGGGAGAAGAAATATATTGAATTAAATATATTGAAAGCTGCACAAGAGGAAATATAAAAACAACTACAACATCTTTATAACCAAATCTAGTGAATATTATTTCTGTTATCAAGTACTTTCTAGTGTCAGAAGTTAATCATACAATGAAAATCATCAGAGAAATAATCTAGCTTGAATAATTCTAAAAATGCTTTCAAAACTCACAGTAGCCACTTACCACTTGAAGTAATGCAAGATAACCAGCACCAACATTATCAAAATTTACTTTCACATTTTTCCACCGAGCTTGCTTGCCTAGGGCCTGACAATCGCTCAAGTTGTTGACTTCACTAACTTCAAACATGTTACCAGTTGTCATGTTAACACAGTGGTAGAACTTGCCAGCAAACAGATTCACACCCATGATGCTAAAGATCAGCCAGAAGATGAGACAAACCAGAAGCACATTCATAATGGAGGGAATTGCTCCAACTAGGGCATTCACAACTACCTAGAAGAAGCATTGAGGAAAAGACAAAGTACAAATTACCAAAAGGGAGACCAGTCCATTCACTTATGTAGTTAGTACTAAGAGGTGTCTGAAAGGAGTTAAATAATAATCTAGGTGGATTTCTAGTTCTACAATGTTTCCTCTAATACTTTGCAGTTCATATTTGATAAGGGAAAACAAACAAGAACACAAGTAAAGAGCTAAGGATTTAAGGAAAGCAAATACACCAATGCATGAAAAGAAATAAACAAAAACCTGATAAAGTAAGATGGAGTCAGAAAATGTTTGTATGCTAGGAAGAAAGGGAAAAAAAAGATGTATTAAATACCACCAGTATAAATGATCATCTTTAAATAATACATTTTAATTTTCAAGAGCATGTATTATGGATAATTTGAAAAAATGAGCAAACAAACCTTTTGCAAATCATCAAAGTTTTCAAACTTTCTTAAACCCTCCTCAGATCAGGTAACTTTTTATAATTATGAAGAATAGATACAGGAATATTCAAGAATCTTTTGCTCTGATTATTGAATTCTAATTTAAAAATGTATATTAGGAATAAGAAGTGAGATTTATCTATAGAAGTAAGAATATTAAATACAACCTCATTATTATTATACCATCTCTTCAGTGTTCCCTTTGGGAGCCCATGCTATTTCTTCTAGCTAAGCTGCCCTATTTGGGTGAGGGAAAATTCAATCCCCTTTCATCTCATAAAATTCAGAAAAGACTGAGACGCATTTTAAAATCTCTAAGGAGGTCAATAGTAACTTGTCTCATTGAATTTAATCTAGTTCATTTTGGACTGTTTTGTGTAGAATTTACATTCACTTAAACTATTGTTTCATTTAAAATGATATAAACATCATTTTAGAAATCAAAAACTTTAAGTTGACACCAAAATCTGAAGCCTTATGTTATAAAAGTTTTCTGGGATAATTAAATTTTATTTCTTCAAGAAATAAAGTCAAATATATTACAGTTGCCAGGTTTTTTCTCCTACTGAAATTTGTGTAAAATCCTCTACACTCCTCAAATACATTTACCTTCAAATAAATATATGATCCATTTAGCTGGAATCTTCCTTCTTTCATATGACTGAATTAAAAATGTTAGAATGTTTTTCAGATTAGAGAAAATTTCTACTTTTCCATTTTGTTCGGTGACTATCTTCTCTTTGAAATGAACTATTAATATGAAACTGTGAAATGAGATGAGACCTTAAGGAGTATTAGTGACAGTAGACTGTTTTGAAAGGAACTTGAAAGTGAGTAATAATTGCTATGACTTTGTTAGCAGTAGCAGTGAAATAAAATTACAATGCAAAAACCAAGCATTTCTTCCTTGCAATGCTTCTGGAGAGTCTGGAGAATAGTTTCATTCTCCCTGATGAGTAAATTTTGCAGTCCAGGCTGAAGCAATTTCATTGCCCAAAACAAACCACCTCCTTACATAAAAACCCTGTGGCCTTGAAGAAATTCATTATCCATATGCATTTGCAAACCAGATTAAACAAAGCTAGCTTTTGTGCAAAACAGTCCTGGAAAGGGTGTGGCAAGTGTGTGCTTTGTGTTTAAAACCATAATATGTGTTCTAGGAAGAGAACAGGAGAGGAAAACGCACGAGCTGTGGGAGAAAGCGAAGCACATTCTGAACATTTATTTGAAAGTTACATTTATAAAACAAAGCCTGAGGGTGTCTCAATGCTTACCTAATTATCCTAGCGACTTGTTTTGCTTCTTGACTATGTATAGATTTTGTAATTTAATTTTGTTTTCTTGTATAACTATGGTTTTTATTACTGATATTAAATCAACAAGAAAGTACACAAAACCAATTTTGCCTTTTAGTCAGTGCCAGTACCTTTCCAGGAATCAAACTTATCAACTTAGGAAAACAAAAAGGCTCTCCTGAAATGAAAGTCAGCAGTGAGGACTCATTTCAAAATATGTGACAATGGGAAGAAATAATTGCCAGCACTCAGCTTTTGGATTTTGTATGATCTTTGGACTGTAGCCTTGGCGCTGCCAAAATTTCTCAGGTATCATTTAAATAAACTTTACTTTCAAGATGTTAGGCTTAGTGATCTCTAAGATCTTGCTCTGAAATTCAGAAATTCTGTACATTTCAGAAGAGTATGCAGCCCTGTATATAAATCACTACCTACGCACAATTTTGACAGGAACCTTGTAGAGTTCCTAATCTTCTTACCCTCATTCCTTCAAACCGGGATAAGGCTCTTAAGGGTCTTAAAGCTCGTAGTGTCCGTAGGGATTTGATGGCACCAAGTTCTGAGTAGCCAAGAGCATTGGCTACCAGGCTAACCAATGAAACCTATGAAAAGAAAGCATATTAATCAGTTCATCAGGGAATAAACTGTTCACAAAAGGCATAGGATGTACTTTCTATTCTTTAGTACTGAATAAATGAAAGCTTGGAGATTCCTCGGCACATTGGATTGTTGTACACGGCCAGCTTCATCTCATGCTATCGGCATTTCTTACTAGTGAGTCTGGAATGCTTGCCCATTTTGATACACATTTACAAAGTCCTTCACCTAGATACTTCACACCAGAGGCCTCTTTTAAGCCTGGACATCTACCAGTGATGACTCAGGGCCCAGTGATAATTTAGAGATTAGTGCAAAAGCCAGAGGGTTTGTGCTTAGTTGCTTAGCAACTATGTTTTTCTTCTGAATTTTTGTAGCAACTTCCTTATGCATTTTGGAGACATTTGCCATAAAATAGAGTCAATTGTTCTGATCCCTGTTTTCCCTTCCAGGTCGCATAAGCTCATTATTAGCTAAGATGGAACATCCTTTTCTTAATATCTTAACATTGCTTAGTTGAACATATCTTACTGGATATGCTATATGAATAAATAAGGGAAAATTTTATCTGGAAAGGTTTTATTCAAAGTACTGGGCTTTTAATAAGAATATGGCACCTCTTTTTTCAGAAAGATCTTACATTTTTCTGTTATTTATATGTATTTTAAGTTTTACTTTACTATATGAAAGATTAAAGAAGGCATGTGTTTTGGGAAGTATGCCATTTGCTTTGGTTTTCATTGAACATAATTTGATACCTACATAAATAAATCCAAAGAAGTAGGTACTGTTGCTATCAACTTTTTATTGATGAGGAAGCTAAGTGCTACCCACACACATTGAAAGAACAGGAAGAAAGAAAAGGAGAAGGAGAAGGAGAGAAAGGAGAGGAAGGAGGGGAAAAGGAGGAAGGAGAAGAAGGAGGGGAAAGTAAGGAAGGAGAGGAAGGAGAGGAGGAGGAGGAAAAAGGGGAGGAAAAAAAGGAAACAAAAGAAGGAAGAAGAAAGAAGTGGTGGAGAAGGAAGAGGAGAGGGCAGGAGGGGGAGAAAGGAAAAGTGCAGAGGAAGGAAGGAGGGACAATTCATATCTAATATGAGGTGGAGTTGAAGGCTTGAATCTACATGATCTGACTTTTATCTTTAGCTTTCTTTTAGAAATTCTTCAGGTAAAACATAGAAAACATAAATGATTTCAATGACTTTTCTGAATTCTTGCAGGGATAATATATAACTAGTGCTTTCCTTAATGCACTGCAGAAAAGTTAGTTCACTAAGTTCACTGGATGAGTTGTAGATTCTGGGGCTTAATTTTCTCTAAAAAACAAAACTGTTGAAAATGAGTGTAAGTTCCCTCAACAACCTTGTGGTGTGAGGTGAAACCAACAGTCTGCTTGACATCATATCAAGGGTGGCATCAAAACTAGAAACTAGGCTGTAAAGGCAAGTGGAACCACTGTCCCTGTATTATTTAATTTAGCACATGTCTCACAGAACTCAAAGAGATAATAAGTGACTTGAAATTGTACATGATCAGTGACAAGATAATGTATGAAGCTATTCACTTCTGTTTTGGGCTTGTAGCTAGAGAAGATTGATAAGAAAGGTTAAGGGATAACTCATAGCGTTCTATGTTGTGGGCTCCTTTGCCTCCAGAGCACGTTTTTTTTACATTTTTGGAGTTACTAGCTGAAGTCTTCTTTTATCCTACTAACTATGTCCTTCATTTAAAACTTTTAAACAGGAAGTGGCTACACATTTTTCAATATCCTAAAGTAAGGAAGTGGACACTATAAAAAGTAGAGAAAGTCATGTCCAGAAGCAGAGGGTGCTAGAAGGATATGAAGTCATGTGTTCAAAGACTAGGAAGCATCCCTTGCCTTATCCACCAAGCTCAGGAAAGAACTGTGCTATTAGAGAAGGTCAAAGGTCAACACTGTGAAACTGTGCTTTTTCAAATGGGTCTCAGGGCTCTGGGAACAAAGTAGAAGAGCTTTAGTCCTGTGGTATTAAAGACTAGCAGTTCTCAGAACCATTTTTCTAGGCTACAATGTCTAACATTTTCTGCATGTTCCCAAATGGAGACCATTGACAGCCACCTGACACTGGGTTTGCTGACCAATCTGTTTATTTAGGAAAACAGAAACAATTTAAAATATTCATAGGATTTTGAGAATATTCATTGCAGATTGGTTTAATCAAGTAATTTAGAATATTTATTTTTCTATGCAAATCTCTCTGATAAGATCATTACAATCTTATGCAAATAATTTATCTAGCTTCATTTGACTTAAGCCACGCTGTCGTATTGTCGAAGACTCAAACTTATTTTATTTGGTTAATTAATCTTGCAAAAATCTTGTTATGTATAAAAGCCAATTTAGAAATAAGTTATTTGAAAGCTCTTTTAAACAGAGGTAGTTTTTGCAAAATACCATAGATTTTTCAGAATACTTAAAGTTTAAAAATAATGTTCTACACTGGAAGGGTGCATCATGATTTATAATGATCTTTCTACTCATTATCTTTGTTCCTCGAGCAGTCAAATGTCTAGTCCAAGAAAGACAGTAACAGGCAAGTGTATAATAAAAATTTAAGCCTTCTGTTTTCAAGTCTAGTATGTTTTTCATCTCAGCAAATTTGCCCCTAATCCTTCAATACACTGTGTTTTAATCTTCAACTCTCCCTTGTGGTGAGAATGAAGGAATTATTCACTGATATGTGCAAATTATGACAGATAATCATTTCCAAAAATTAAATTTTTGGTATAAATTGATATGAATTGGGTACCACATGCCACACTGCACAGTAAATAAATGATAGTATCTGTGTTAGCATTTTCATAGGGTGGATCAGCTGTCATCCACACTTTTTCATATTCCTATGGCAACTAAAACCAAGAAAGAAACAAAAAGCAGGGGGGAAGGGACAGTTCTGAAGAAGAGGCCAGAAGTTTTATGATTGCCTAAAGAACCAAATAATAGCAATTTGTTTCCCTTGAAAATAACTAATGATAATTTTTAGTTCAATATGAGCAGCAAAAGATTAAGACTATATATTATTTCCATACATTTTTATAATATATTTTAATCTAAAGGTTTGTACAAACTTTAATGATAAAATCTAGAAATATTCCCATTAAAATCAGAATAAAACAATATGCCCATCACCAGTTTTATTAAATACTTTCTGAAAAAGAAAATAATAGTTGCAAGAATTAGAAAAGTGGGAGAAGTAATCATTTGCAAATATTTTTTTTACCTCAGAAAAAGAATTAAGTACAAAACTATTACAAATAAAAGTAGAATCATTTTAGGTGGTTAAATAATATATATTTCATATTAACTTCTAAAAAGTTGTATAAAATCCTTGAATGAAATCAGCAAAAGTGGTACAGAAAAATATAAAAGCATAAAAACAACTCAAAATATTATTCTTTAAAAACAAAGCAGAGAGGAAAAATTCACCAGGTTGTTAAATTAATTATAAATCTATAGTAATTAAAGTTGTATATAGATAGATGAAGAAAAGAATGAAAAAATTGAAGTTCAAATTATATCAGACACACTGGGATGTAGCATGTGGATAATATGGTAAGATACTATATCAGAAGAGAAAGACCACATTTGATTATTAATTGAATGAAAAACCATTTGGAGGAAAATGATGTTGGAGAATTTCCTCATATCTTTCTCCAAAATAAATTCAAACTTGAGCAAAATTTAAAACATAAAATAAAAAATAATAGGCAAGAAGTGTTCAAATTATAAAACCGGGGAAAACAAGAGAATATTCCTACTGACCTTACGTGCAAAAGTCTTTATATTCATGCAAAAGCCAAGAAGCAAAAAAAGACTGAGAAGTATGAGTAAACCAATTTGAAAAATGTCTAGATGACAAAAATGTCAAGAAAAAAACTTCCCAAAAGGAAGCTATTCATAAAACATGTGACAATGAAGCCAATCTCCTTACTATTAAAGGAGCTCCTACAAATCAGTAAATAAAAGGTCGTTACCCAAATAATAAAACATACAATTCTTTCTAAACTCAAACTTTATATTTTTGAGTGATGTATTTATTTATGTTCCCTACTGAATGAAATTCAACCAGAAGGAACACAAATGGATACAAAGCAAATAGAATATAAAACAGCAAGGACGTGAGTTTTAAGGAATTCTAGATTGTGTAGGAAGTGTGTAGGAATGATTATTTCAGCAACAGAAACCTGGGCGCCTGCATAAACAGAAGCAGGCAGAGTTTCAGAGAATACGTGCAAGTCTCTGGACCTGGAAATATCAGGTTCCTGAAGATTGGGGGAGGAGGAATGTCTGGGGCTGAAATTAGAATTGATTGAAGGTCTGTATCCAGGAAAACCAGATCCATCACTTTCTGACCTTGCGAGAGAGCAGAATGTAATTCATCTTCACAGCTAGCGGTAAAATCTATCCTTGCTACGGAGGTCACACATAGAAACCATAATCCGCATTGTGGTTCGGTTGCCCTTTCTGACCACAAAAGCCTCTTCAGATACTATGCACTTGAGCTTTCCCCATTAACAGTAGCAAAGGTTTAAATAGCATGTAAATTAACTCAATATTTCTTAGGGCTGGGGCACCTGAAACTGCAGATTGCTAGGGGAAAACCTCCCTGACTCCACGCCAGAGCAGTCATGTTTTCTATCTGCTAGGTTCCTTCTAGGAGGAGGTTTATGTAGTAGTGAGGACCAGGTACAAGGCTGCTATGAGAATCTTAGCAGAGGATTTTTGGAGAGGACTGGAGTTTGGAGTTCCTGGGGTAGAGGAATTTGGTCAACTGGGGTGAGTAATGTGGGCAGCCAGAATGGACTGGGAGATTCTGTGAGGTCAGAGTAATTCCTGTGCAACATCAGTCAGATATGGGAATTCATAGTTGAACGATGAACACTTGTAACTCAATCTGCCTCTTTTCCATTGACATCATCTACTTCTGTAGTAGGCTTTTATTGTTTATTTGTTGGTGTTTGTACATAA